CCTAAAAACTCTTGCAATAGAGAAGAAAAAACAACCTGCTGGGTCAAGTTCTTTGACTGCTATTACTACTGTATCTAGGATATCTTTGAGAATTCCTATATTTAGAGAAGAACCTGGAGAAAATATGAAAGTCTGGCTGCACCAAACAAAGAATATCCTATACGTACAAGGAGTCAAAGAAGTGGAACAGATAATATATTATGCTGCTATGGGATTTGAGGATGCCACCCTTCATTGGTTTATTAATAAAATCAAGGATTTTATCATTATCACTTTTACTGGATGGGACCAGTTCAGGAAAAAACTCTGAATCGCTTTCCAACCCCACACTATCAACAATATCTGCATCACCAACTTAAAATCCTGCTCCAAACAGGAACTGTGCCAGAATACGTCTCCCAATTTAGAAACCTGGTAAGCCAAATTGATGATATGTATCAATTGAACCAAGTTGCCTATTTTGTAGAAGGATTGAAGCCTGTGATCAGAATGGAAGTAAGTTACAAGTCTCCAGAAATTCTCAACAAAGCCATCCAAATTGCGAGCCGATACAACACTGCCATGTTTGGTCTGGAATGACCGATGGGAAAATTTATTACCCGAGAATATCAACCCCAAGGAAGAGACCAACGATCCAAACCAACCTCAATGGAATTAAATCATACTGAAACCTATAGAAAACCATCAATCAGCAGCCAACACCAGAAGAAACAAGTAAAATGCTACAATTGTGAAAAGATGAACCATTATGCCCAAGACTATCAATTAAAGAAAACCGAAACTAAAGCCAAAGTCATTGTAATAGAAGAACAAATCACTTCTCCAGATGCCAAATTCATCCATATTGAAGAAAACCGAGAACAACTACTTCGTTTTAATGGAAAGATTGATAGACACCCCACCTGGATTCTGCTGAATAGTAGGGCCTTCAAGAATTTTATTGATAAGAAATTTGCTAATCAACGATGACTGTCGAAAGAACAAACCAAACCCTTTACTGTGGAACTAGTCGATGGCCGAAAGAAAGAAGTCTTCACTGAAGATCAAGAATTGGAATTGGACTAATACTATACCTTTGGGATTTTTATTCAAGTTTTGA